AATAATCATGCAACGTAACTCGTTTTTTCGATTAATTAATCTTACATAATTTATATTATTTATAATTAAGAATTCGTAATTAAATTATAAAACGAGACTAAAATATCAATAATAATAATAATAATAATAATAATAATAATGACAGCAATAATAATAATAATAAAATAAAATAAGAAACGTTTTTATTATTAAGTTCGTTTAATACCATGTAAGAATACATTTTCAGCAATACAAAAAAATCGATTATTATCGTTATTATCATTATTATTATTATTATCATCATCATAATTAATAAGTTATGGCATTCATTTTTCAAAAAAAATGAAAAATAATTTATTTTATTTATTTTATTAAATTTCACATGACTTTACGAAAACAACAAATCACATTGACAACAACTAGTTGTTTCCAAATTAACCAAATTCTCATAATATTAATGAGATTTTATTATTATTATTATTATTATTATTATTATTATTATTCACGTTAAATAATATATATATGTACAGAAATTTATTATCATTATCATTTATTATTATTATTATTTTCGATTCAGCACTTGCGGTTTTTAAAAAAATTAATTTTATTTTTTTTTTCTTAATTGTTCATCTTTTTTTTTTATCCCCCACAATTTTCAAATTTATCTATTATTATTATTATTATTATTATTATTAATAAGCACTTTTTTAACAAAATATCAATAAACGTTATTCGATCATTTAAATGTTTTTTTTGACGTTGTAAATAATAATAATTATTATTATTTAAAAAAAATTAATTTATTTATAAGAAAAAAATTACGTTAAACGATAACGTTTTTAAACTTTTTCGTTCGAATTTTTTTTTCACGATTATTATTATTATTATTATTATTATTATTATTATTATTATTATTATTAGTATTAGTATTATTATTATTATTATTATTAATTCATTTTTTTTTTACCTCAAATGTGAAAAATGTTTTAAATGTAAATGTTAATTTAGTATTATTTAATTTAAATATTTACTTATTTACATTGTATTATTATTATTAATTTTTTTTTTTTTAAATAATTTTCGCGGGTTTTTTTTTTTTCAAATTGTACGAGTGAATTAAAAACAAACAAAAAAAATTACATTTAATAATTATTAAATTGTTAATTATGTTGTTTTAATTAATAATTAATTAATCATGTTGCTGCTTATAATTTAAAATGTTCAGATTTTTAATTTTTCTCAAAGGACAGTAGTATTAATAATAATAATAATAATAAAAATAGAATAAGTTTCGTTTTAAAATGGACAGAAATGTTTTTATTTTATTTTTTTTTTGAAATTTAATGGACGGTACGCTAATGTCAAAAAGCTAAACCAAATAATAATAATAATAATAATAATAATAATAATAATAATAATAATAATAATAATAAAAATAATAATAATATTAATAATGTTAATAACAAAATTAATAATTAATTTTTACATAATAATAAACATAATGCGATGTGTTGTAGGTTTTTCTTTTGTTTTCTTTTAACCGGAAATAAAAGTAATTTATTACTATTATTAATAAATAAATAAATAAATAAATAAATAAATAAATTAATTAATTAATAAAAAATAATAATAATGTTTGTCAATTATAAGCAACACGATGATGAAAATTTTGTTGTAATTTTTTTTTTTTTTGTTTTAATGACTTTCATTATTATTTGCGTGTATGTATTTAAAAAGTATTATTATTATTATTATATTACTATTATTATTTTTATTATTATTATTATTATTTATAATCAATGATTAAGAAATCGAAGCGATATAAAAATTATCAAAAAAAAAAATTTCAAATGTAAACTGGAAGCTGTAATTGTTATTATTATTATTTTAAAATTATTTTAACCGTGCATATAAATTTACAAAAATAATAATAATAATGGTAATAATAATGATGAAAACTCAATAGTAACAAATAAAATAAGTGGAAAAAGGAAAAAAAAAAACAAAAAACAAATTAAGTAAAGAAGAAAAAAAATATTGTTTTTTCCTTCTGCTTTTTTTTTTTAACGCTCTGTCGATTACGAAAGAAAAAAACATTTGATTGGCATTTGAACATGTTTTTCGTTTGTTTTTTCCAGAAAAAATTATTTACATAAAATTTAAAGTCATTATTTTTTCTTAAAGTTATTAAAAATATTTTTACATTTTATTTGTAAATTTTTTAATCGAACGAAGAAGACATTTAATGAATTTAAAATTATTTCCTTTTTTTTTTTTTTTGTTATTATTAACCGTTGAAAATATTATGTAATTGTTAATTTATAACGATTTTAAATTTGAATAATCGAGATATCGTATTTATATATCGAACGACCTAGATATAAATTAGAACAACAGAATGAAAATTTTTGTTTTTTTTTTTGGGAGAAAAACAAAGAAGAAAATGGACGATGGCCCATATTCAGAAACGGGTTTTCCTGATGGTTATCGAAAAATTTGTGGAAAATTCGAAGACTTCGAAGGAGAAAAAATCAAGAAACCATTATTATTATTACTTCAGTGTGTGAATATTTAACGAAAATTTCCAAAATTTTAATTAAGGACATTTATTGAACTTATTATTAAGGTCACACATTTAAGGTCAAATTCAAAATGCCATCGCAAAAAAAAAAAAAAAATGGAGGATTTTTTTATTTTATTTTTGTCATTTAATCGTTAATAATTTTCATCTATGGTGGGAATTTTCGTTAATTTAACGATCAAACAAAACATTTTCGCAAAATATTAACTCGTTGGAAATTCCAAATCATTTAAAAAAAAAAAAAATGGTTTTTTTTTTTTAACCATTTCCGGAATTGTAAAAAAAAAAAATTTAAACTTAAACTCATAACGAAAATTATCTGTTTCAGGTTTATATTTATTCGATTTGGAAAAAACGACAAATAAATCCCAACAAATAAAAATTTCAAAAAGGTAATGATACGTTAATTATTATTATTATTATTTGATCGAATTATCATTGAGTAATAAAATTAAAACATTTAAACGATTTTTTTAAAAATTATTATTCGTTGTTTTAAAATTTGCAGGTCAATCATTTTCCAATGAGTGACATCAAAATTACCGAACCAAAATAAAACAATTCACGTCTACTGCTGGAAAAATTATTTATTATACGTATATGTACACTTTTAGTGCCGTCAAGAGTGCTGCTTTATTCAAAATACTAAAAAAAATTTTTAATTAACAATTATTTACGACGATTTCGACGAGGCTCACAATAAATTTTGTTTCCTCACATTATGTTGTAAGTAACTAAAAAAATTATTTTCTAAATTTTTTTTTTTTTTTCATCTAGCGAAATGTTTGCTTATTATTATTATTATTATTATTATTAATATTTTTAAAAGTCAATTATCTATATTATTTATACGGGTTGTTTTGAGAAGAAAAATATTTTCATTACTAATTGTCGTTAATAATAAGGAGGTGTAAATAATGAGAAATTTTTTGGATGGGAAATGATTTCAAGCAATGCTTTCAGAGGTTGTGGTAACTCTACACTTTTCTAATGCCTCTAAACCATCAGTTTTTGTTTCACTGTGACTTCTCACCGCTACATTTTTCTCTTGCTGTGTGGAAGATCTTAATTGTTGTGATTGAGACATGTCGCTCGTCGTCGAACAATCCTTGGTTATGTTCGGATGATTGTTGTTGTTGTTACTCGTCGACGAATTTCTACGAATGAATTGTTGAGAAACGTTTTGTTGACGATCGTGCACGGATTCTTTCGTGGGTGATTTAACATCGAAAACTGAATTCTCGTAATCGACATCGGATTCTATTTGCCTCGTACCAGGATGTGGTGAAAGCCTTTCGCTCGTATCCGATCCACAACTTGAACTTTCCGATAGTTCCGTTGTAAATTTTCTCGTAGCTCTCGGACTCGATGGCGGTCTTCTACTGCAAACTTGACTTTGAATGTGTTCGCAAACTCTTCTAAACCTTCGAATGTTCCCTGGATTTAAAAAAAAAAAAATTAAAATACGAGCGAGTGATGATTAATTTTACGGTTTACAGCATAATATAAGAAAACATACCTGAGATTAATGTAAAGGTAATTGCAAACAGGTAGTCTTTGGAATTGTCAGATGTTTGTTTGCTAATTGTTGAAATATCTACTTGAAATCGAACTTGTCTTTGAAACATTGTCGGACCTGTTGTTCCTCTTTTGTATTCTACTCTAAACGACATTGGCGATGATACGCTATGACTCAGTTCCGCTATCTAAAATTTAATTGTTTTAAATTCGTACCACATGCAACTTTATAAATGGAAGAAAAAAAATGATAACGTACCGATAAAAAGGCATGGATGAGGTCGGCTTTAACGGAAGCAAGTGGCTTTCCTTTGACTAATATTGTGAAAGTTTCATCTTTTTCAGTTGTCATTAAATTTCCAAACCACGATTTTTTCGTTAATTCCGGGGAAGATTCTGGTGTTAAGTGAGCTTCTTCACACGAAGCTGAAAAAGGGTGGAAAATTTTATGGGTTAGGCAACAAAAATTAAATTGAAATAAATATTTGTACATAATTTTTCAAAATATTACTTTGTAATTTTCTCCTGTGAAATCTAGGCGTTCCCAAAAAGCTATTTTTAATTGTAGTCAGTCTAGATCTCCAGTGATGCGCGGCGGTTGCATGCGGGGATCCCGGAGGAGTCATAGGCAGCAAGTTGGACGTTAAAGAAATAATAGACGGCCTGTCGGATTCGTTATAAATGTTTTGAACTGTAGGACCTGAACTATTAGCTCTTTGATGTTGAACGACGGGTGGAGCCACTGGTGACACGACATTTGATTGCGTCGTACCCGAACCTTCGAATAAATTATTTAAATTGGGATTTGTAGGGAATCGTAACGTTTTTCGACATTCTCAATAAAGTTGATGAATACCTGGTGACGATGGATGATTACAGGTAACGCTAGTCGTTGAATAGGTTGAAGAATTTAAGCAATTATTTCCTCGTACGTTTGAGTTGTTGGAAGTGTGAACCGATCTTTGATGGTATGATGTTCTTGTAGGTACCGGTGATAACATTCCTGTATCAGAAAAAATCGCTAATGAAAATTTAGTTTCATTTAATTTCGTGTAAGAAAACAATTTATAAATTTTTTCTTTTTTTACCAGTTAAATTAACATTTGGTATATTGCTATAAGTTGAATGTATCGGACTAGATTTAAATGAATTTTGATTAACAGTATTGCCACCATTTCCAGGAGGTCTTCTGTGATACCTCATACCCCTGTAAATATTTTACAATAATTGAAAATGTTTCTTTTCATATAAAATAAAACTTTAACTTGTTATTATTTCACTCACGAAAATGCTTGTCTTCTTGGTGTTAGAGGGCTTCCTTCGCTTATTTGCCCAAATTGGTAACTATTCGATCCGTTTACTTTAATCGTATCTATTCTTTTTCGAGGTGGATCACTACTTTCTGAACGAACTCGCAAAATTGATTCCGTATCATCTTCAAAAGCTGGCCGCCTTCTTTTTCTTTCCAGTAATAAAAAATAAATTACCTTTTCCGTATTATGACTAAAACAAAAACAAAAAATTTTTTTTTGTTTTCATGATTTTTTGCAGTAAATTATTTTGATTGTATTCGGTGACACAAATTTTTTACATCATTTACGACCGTTCGGTTTTCGTAATTTTTTTTAAATCGTTCAAGAATGGCGATGTTAATTCATCTTTTGTCGTCTGTTTAACCAATTTAATTTTTCATTTGAAATGATAACTGATTAGAATGAAAATTTGTGTGTGACTGTGAGTTTATTCAAATACTCCTCACAAAACCAGTTTTATTTTGTGTCGCGGAGTGAAATCGTCGTACCGTTTGCGTGCTTACTTGATATTTACTTCCGGTTTTAATCTTTTTTAAACGTGAAAAATAACATTGAGATACATATAAATAATATTTCGTACATACTTAACGCTAAGAAGTTCTTGAATTAAGCTGTCTTTGTTTTTAAAACACCCCAGGCTCGTTATGGCTTGCAAAACGTCGGGATCCATGGCATCGACAGATGGTATAACGTGGGTTTGGACAACGTCCATCATCGGAAGTTCCAATTCTAATTCTCCTTTTCCGCCTGCAGTTACCCACGGATGCCTATTAATGTCCGAGAGCTGAAATTTATTTTCGAAAATTAGTCGATGTGTTACGTGGTACACTATATTTGAACGTGAAACTGAGTACTTACTGTTAATCTTTTTTCCGGATTGACTTCTATCATTCCTCTCAGAAGATTTTGACAATCCGGTGGTACGAAATGAGGAATGTGAAAAACACCACGTTTAACTTTTTCTAATAATTGCCTTAAATTATCATCATCAAAAGGTAAAGCACCGACTAACAAAGCATACAATATCACACCGCAAGACCAAACATCCGCTTTTCTACCATCGTATTTTTCTCCCTGAAAAATTTTTTTAATTCGTTTATTTAAAATTATTATTATTATTATTATTAATCGAAATCATTTATATTAAATTTTTATTACTCTAATAACTTCTGGACACGCGTAATGAGGCGAACCGCAGCTTGTTTCCAACATGGAACCGTTCGGTTGTAACGATGCCATTCCAAAATCAGCTATTTTGATGTTATTTTTTTCATCGAGTAAAAGATTTTCCGGTTTTAAATCTCTGTGACTGAAATAAATAATAATAATAATAATAATAATGTTTTCGTCGAAGAAAAAAAAGAAAATAAATAAATTTTCCATTTTACCAAATAGAATGACTATGACAGAAATCTAAAGCGGAAATAATTTGTCGAAAAAACCTTCTGGCTTCCTTCGGTGTCAGTCTTCCTTTTTTAACTAAATAATCAAATAATTCTCCACCGGAAACGTGTTCGAGAACTAGATATCTTTAAAAACAACATAGAAAACATAGAAATTAAAATTTTCTTTATAACATGTATATTTTATTATTATTATTTTTTGCTTACAGGTATTTTTTATTTTCGTAAACATCTGATAATCCAAGAACGTGCGGATGATCGATTAATTTCATTATGGCGATTTCCCTTTCGACTTTCATCAAAACGGATTCCGATAATTTTTCTCTATTTATTATTTTAATTGCTACTTTTTTACTGAGTACGCAATGAACTCCCAATTTGACGAGGCCTACAAAATAAATGAAAATTAGTCAATGTAAATGTAAAAAGGATGAAAATGATCAATTATGATGGTGTGGATTTGAAATGGTGAGTGAAATTATTAATTTTTTTAAATCGCATACCGCAAATCTTTACAACAAAGGTAAATTAATATGATTGTCACGTGACCGATTCGAACTAATTTCTATATTGGAAAATTTCGGCTATATAAAAATTTTTCTCTCTCTCTCTCTTTCTTTGCTCCCTATTGTCGTTAAATTCAAATTCGAAAATTTTTTTTTTTCGTTATGATGATACCGGTTTAAATGACTTAGGTATTATTTACTTACATTACGACAATCACTACTACGCGAGAGAGAGAGAGAGAGAGAGAGAGAGAAAGAGAGAGAGAAAGAGAGAGAGAAAGAAAGAGAGAGAAAGTTTAAAAAAAGGAAAAAAACATGGCACATGGTATTAAATGTCAAAAGGTAATGACGGTTAATTATTTGTGTGCTTTCTTTTTACGTAGAAAATATAATTTAGTCGGGAGAGGAAGGGAGGGGGAAAAAGGTTAAATTTCCCGGATCGAAGGTATGCGTATAGTAATTGGTGCAACCTTTATCAAAAGGCAAAAAAAACAAACGAAATTGATACTCGTATCGGAAAATTACAAATCGTATTTTTTATCCAAAAAAAAAGAAAAAGAAATTCGATACTCGCGTTTTTGGGGGGGGGGGGAAAAATCATTATTTGTTGTTTTTTTTTTAATGAAAATTTTAAAACGGGTATCATATTATTATTATTATTATCGAATGAATTATTATCGGATACTCACCAGTTTGTCCTTTTCCCAAGGTTTTTTCTAGCCTGTAGGGTCCAACGTATTGCTGGTAATCGGTTTTAACGCTTTCTTTTGACATTTTCCTTTTTTTTTTAGGTTATAATTTCGATTTAAATAAAATTTTCTTTTACGCGTTTCGTATCCTTTTTCGTTTTTTTTTTTTTTTTTTTATGACGCGTTAAATTATTTTTTTCTAAAAAAATTTTATTTCGGATGTTTCAAACGCGGCGGTGAAAAAATCATAACAATTGAAAATTTATTTTTTAATTCCGTTCTGAAAGAAATGGTTTTCACGGTCTCCATATTGAAAATTTTTTACATTCGTAACACCCAACAACACGTTACGCACACACACGAACGAATTTTATTTCACACAGAACATTCTATGGTTTTCCTTTTTTTTTCCCCCTTTCCCTCCCCCCCCCCTTTTCACACTTTTTTTCCTTTTCTAATTTACTATTTTTTTCATTTTCTCATCACTTATTACTATCACTTATTATTATTATTATTACTATTACTATATTTATTTTTGAAAACAATCGATAATGACGATCGCGTTTCACGAACTCGATTATTCTTATTTATTATTATTATTATTATTTTAAAAAACATTTGATTAAAAAATTAAAAAATGAAAAAAAAGAGAGCACAATAATTCATTACGCACACACACACACATACACACACGCACGCTTCACAAACCGGTGAACGAACGAACGACCGACCCAACGAACGAACGCATGCACTAACGCACGCACCCACACGCACGTACACACGCGTTTTTTTTTTTTTGGAAAAATTGCGTTTTTGCGTACGTAAGCTAAGCACTCATTTTCCGGATTGCGTTTCGTACGATGTTGACTTTACTCGTGTCGTATCTCTCGATTTTTTTTTTCTTTTTCTTTTTTTTTTTTTTTGAGGAAAATTGAGTTTTCTCGAAATTTCCGTAAGGATTTTTAAAAAGAATAATCGATGAAAGATGATTTAAATTGTAAAAACGCGTCTTTTTAAAACGTCGACAACTCAACCCTCGGCTTGGTCTTACGCAGCGTCTTTATAGACCCTTGTGTTCCTCGTTTTTTTTACGATCCTTGCGCCCTTATTCAAATTTCTAATGCGCATGTCTTAAGGGTCGTCAGATAAAATATCACCCCCTAAAGCCAAGTAATATTGAGCTATTCGATTCTTTTCCCGATGCAGAGGAAAACTTTATTAAACAAAAATTCATTGACATTTTTCTCTTGTTTTTTTTTTTTTATAATGTTTTTCCGAATCGTACCAAAACTTGGCGAAAGACAGAGAGAGAAAGAGAGAGAGAGAGAGAGGAAGATTAAAAAACATAAAAAAAAAAAAATTTACGACAAAATTATTATTATTATGCATTAGAGAGAAAGAGAGAGAGATGGGGGGGGGGAGATGGTTTAGTTTGAGAGACTAAATCAAAAAAGTTTTGTGTAAAAGAATAATTTTAATTTTTTTTTTTTTTTTTCAAAAAAATGGAGTCGAAACCGGAAATGAACCACTTTTCAGTTACGTAATAAAACCTTTAATGATATTTTTACAAATACGAGTTAATCATAATAAATTTTACGATTACAAAAAAAAAAAAAATTGAGTTTTCCAATGGGGAAAATTCGGTGATTTTTATTAAGGGTAATAAAATTAATAGAATTTTCTGAGGAGTTTGATTTTGGGGTGGCAAATTGGGGAGGGGGGTCTGTGTGTGTGTAGAAATTATTCGGAGAAAATTTTGTTTGCGTTTTATATTTAAAAAAAAAAAAAAAATTATCGATGACGACCGAAAAATATTTGCGTGTGCGCGTGTAATTTTAAATTTTAAAAGAAAATTTTTCAAGTTACGATCGCCATGATGATGATGATGATTGCGTAAGGATCGTTTCCGTTTTAAGAAAAAAATGAGAAAATCTTACCCAAAGGGGAGGGGGAAATGAGCGGGGTACTAATTTTTTTTTCCTTTCTTTCCCGTTATTATTTAAACGTAGGCGGGGGGAAAAATTTTTTTCTAGAAAAATCATTTTCCCGGAAATGAAAATACGTCATTATAATTAAACGGTTGAATAAACGTTCGTACGTTCGTTCGATTCTTTCCAAAAAAAATTTTTCGTTTTAAATGACAAAATAAACGAATCGGAATATCAATGCGTTCGCCTACGTTACGATGAACGCCATCAAATTTTTCCTTTTTCTTCTTCTTATTTAATCGTAATTTTATTATTATTATTATTATTATTATTAGAACTATTATTTGGTTCGTTTTTATTTACTAAAGTTTTATTCTCGTGACGTTCATTATTCGCCTTTAATCATTATTTCATAAATTTTTGTTAATAAAAAAAAAAATCAGAGTCGTGGAAATAAATATTAATTAAAATATTTATCGGTTATCGATAGTCGATTAATTTAAAATCGTTCGATATGTTATTATTATTATTTTTTTTTCGTACTTTAAAAAATTAAAAAAAAAAATTTTTTTTTAAATGATCGACAGTCGCAGAAATTGTCGTCGTTGTCGTAATTGAAAATCAAAAGATTTGTAAAAACGAACGGGATGAAATTCTAAAGGGGGATTTGAAATTTTTCGTACCTGAAATTTAACCGTCGATGAAGAATTACCCTGAGAAAAAGAAAAAAAGAAAGAGAGAGAGAGAGAGAAAAAGAATCAAAGAGAGAGAAAGAGAGAAAAAGAATCAGAGAGAGAGAGAGAAAGAGAAAGAGAGAGAAATTGTCAGGAAAAGGGAAAGGAAGAGATAGCTACAGAGAAAGAGAGAGAGAGAGAGAGAGAGAGAGAGAGAGAGAGAGAGAGAAAGAGAGAAAAAGAGAAAAAGAATCAGAGAGAGAGAGAAAGAGAAAGAGAGAAAAAGAATCAGAGAGAGAGAGAAAGAGAAAGAGAGAAAAAGAATCAGAGAGAGAGAGAAAGGAAGAGATAGCTAAAGAGAGAATAAGAGAGAAATAGTCAGAGAGAGAGAGAGAGAGAGAGAGAAAGAATCAGAGAGAAAGAGAAAGAGAGAAAAAGAATCAAAGAGAGAGAAATACCCAGAAAGAGAGAGAGAGGGAGAGTGGGGGGACATGTAAACTGATAGACAGACAGAGAGAGGAACGTAACTCGGTTTTTTTTTAATGAAAATAATTTTCTCGAACGTTTTTTATGACTTATCATCACGTCTTCTGCAAATTTTCTCATAGTTTCCCAATCTTCGACACATATGTACAGCGTTCAAAAAAAAACCCTTAACGCGCACGTACTTCCACACATTTTTTTTTCTATTCTCTAACAACGATGGTTTTTATTTTATTTTTTGCAAAGTTATCATTAATAACACAAATCGATAAATAAATCGACGAACAAGTAAAAAAAAAAAAAACTTTTTTTTTTATAATAATAGTAATAATGAAAATCGAACGCATTTGTGTGGGTATTGTTAGAAAATCTTTTTCTTTTCGAAGCTCATCAATCGTTGTCGATGAATATGGGGAGGTAATAAAAGAAAAAGAAAATTTTTTTTTATATATATATATAGATTTTTCCCATTTTCCAAAAGTAAAAAGAAAAAAAACTTGAGGTTTAATCATTTTTTAAGCTTTTGTTTTCAAATTTTTTTTTTTTTTAATACAATGAAAACCGCCGCCATATTTTTACTTTTTTTATTCGAAAGCGGATATGCAAAAAAATTTTTTTTTTATTTATAAGGATTACGATTATCGTTTTTTCGATATCACGTGAATTTATGTACGCATATATCGAAAAAAAAAAAAATGTCATTGAGAAAATTATTAAAAAATTAAAAATGAAATTTTTTTTATTAAAATTTGTGACGTTCGAATGATCGAATTCGTTGCGTGAAAAAAAAAATGGCGGACAAAAATTTATTTGTTTGTTTTGCAAATCGACGCGGTCGAATCAAAGAAAAAAAATCGATTTGAATATTATTATTATTATTATTGATAATCGATAAGTAAATAAATAAATCAGGAAACAAGGTTACGAAAATTGAATTAATGAAAAAAAATGAAAGTTCGTCGTCTGTGACGTTTTGTTTGTTCATCATCGTCATTGTCAATCGTTTGTAGGATTGGATTCGGGAAGAAAAAAGAAAAAAAACATTAAAACGTTTCGATTTTGTTTGCTTGCTTGTCGGGGGGAGGGAGGGAGTGAGGAGCGAGCGAAGAGACAAACAGGAAAAGGAAGTCGTCGAGTATCGTCGTATGAAACCTTTTTTTAACAAACGTCAGAAAAACATTTTTCCGGATTTTCATCTCGTCATCGAAGAAGGTATAGACAAAAAAAAGAAGAGATAATAATACTTTTGGGTCAATACGAGACGCACTTGAAAGAAAAGAAAAAAATCTGGAAAAAAAATTAACTGGATGGAGCTGGAGAAAAAAAAAAAAGAAAAAAAGAAAAAAGAAAAATTTTTTTTTTAATTCGTTTTTTTTTCTACCTAATAAATTTACATTAGAAATCACCGACGTGGAAAATTGTTTATAGAGTTGTTTACGATGCTATGAAAAAATAATGATGATGATGATGATGATGATGATGATGATGATGATAGTAATTCGACGAATTTCGGTTAAAAAAAAAATTTTCAAAAATATATATATATTTCACACGATTTCTTTTTTTTGGAATTACAAAGACGTAAATAAAAAGGAAAAAAAGGAAAAAAAGGAACTTAAAAGGAAAAAAGGAAAAAAAAAGGATTTAAAAGGAAAAAAGTTAAAACGGAAGTTGAGAGAAAACTTTATTAATCGAAATTTATAAATAAATTAATGAGAAGAAAAAATAAAAACGAATAAAATTCAAGTGAAAAGAAAAATAAATAAAAATATATGAGAGAGAGAGAGAGAGAAAAGGAAAAACTTGAAGAAAAGTAAAAAGAATTATTTATATGAAAAAGGACAACAACAAAATTTTTAAAATGCAAAAAGTAAAGAGAGAAAGTGCGAAATTTTAAAACAAACAAACAAACAATCGGTTTTTCTTGCACGCAAAACGTTTGTATTATTTTAAAAAAAAATTTGATATTTGAATAATGTTATATTTAAACTCGAAACAAA